CAGGCCAGGTGTGGTGGCTCACACCTGTAATCCTAGCACTCTGGGAGGCTCACTTGAGGATGACTAGAGCTCAGGAGTTTGAGATCAGCCTAAGCAAGAGCAAGACCTGTCTCTGCTAAAAATAGAAAGAAATTAGCCAGACAACTAAAACTCTATATAGAAAAAATTAGCCAGGCATGGTGGCGCATGCTTGTAGACCCAGCTACTTGGGAGGCTGAGGCAGAAGGATTTCTTGAGCCCAGGAGTTTGAGGCTGCAGCGAACCATGATGATGCCCCTGCACTCCAGCCTGGGCAATAGAGTGAGACCCTGACTCAAAACAACAACAACAACAACAAAAACACATGAGTTTTAGTCAGACCCTTGGTTTTGAAATCCAGCCCAAACATTTACTAGTTGTGTGACCTGTCAAGTTATCCTTTCTGTGCCTCAGTTTCCTTATTGGTAAACTGGGGCTAACACCTCACAGGACTATTGGGCGGATTGACTTCATGCAGATAAAGCACTAACACAGCAGCAGACACAGACACGTCACTCAGTAAATTATCACTTCCTTTGTTATTATAGTGAACAGAAAGTCTCCAACCTTGCTATAATTTATTTTTCTAATTTATAGGACAAAACAATCTGGTTTTTTCATTTATTCCATTTTGATCTTGGCTTGAAATCTTAAAAATTGGAAATGCTGTAAGAGATTGGTGGTTATCCTCAAGAGGTTATCATAACAGAATTGATCAGAATTTAAAGCCTACTGATTTTAAAAAAACAAAAGCAGAAAACTAGTGATCTTTATGATAAATTTAGAATAATAGAAATACTTTTTAAAATAGTATCGGGAGATTTTATTGTCAGATGGAACATTATTTACTTATCATTCCTTATTAATAGACTGGCTGTTTTCAAATATTTGGTATATCAGTCTCTTCAAAACTTTTTTACAGGTGCAGTAGCTCACGCCTGTATTCCTAGCACTCTGGGAGGCTGAGGCAGGAGGATCACTCAAGGTCAGGAATTCAAGACCAGTCTGAGCAAGAGCAAGACCCCGTCTCTACTAAAAATAGAAGGAAATTAGCCAGACAACTAAAAATCTATGTAGAAAAAATTAGCCGGGCATGGTGGCGCATGCCTGTAGTCCCAGCTTCTTGGGAGGCTGAGGCAGAGGATCTCTTGAGCCCAGGAGTTTGAGGTTGCTGTGAGCTGGGCTGATGCCGCAGCATCTCTGGCCTGGGCAACAGACAGGACTCTGTCTCAAAAAAATGAAAACTTTTTTTACTTACCTACTCTCTCCCAAAATATTGAAAGCTCATATATCATCTTGTACATTTTTTAAGTTGATTTCTAAATTTTTCATTATAATTGCCAAGCATGTAATTTTGAGAGGAGGTGTTATAAATACTGACATTTTAAAATAAAATTTTTAGATCAGCTTTAAATGTGTTAAATGAAATACAAGTATCATTGCTTTTTCATGCCCACCATTATTCACTCACAGCTCTTCTTTGACAGAAACTTTGTATTATTTCCCTTTCCTCCTTGAATTCCTTTCTTGTGCTTCCTCCACAGGATTTTATCATAAAATGATTTATTTTTATTATACATATTTTCAAGTTTATCATACTTATCTGCAACAAAAATATTTATATAAATTGGAGTTTTAAGCTTTTTGTTAAATCTCAAAGTATAAAAATTTTTCCTACGATGAGTTTTCACATTTATTAGCATATATTATTGATCAAAACAGATATTATAAATTTTGATTAAAATTACTTTTTATGTTAAGTTATTGAAATTACTTTTATTTGATGAGAGAGATGGGACTCCCCCCCCCATTTATGTATGTTTGGATCAGTATTTCTTATGAGGTTAGTGACACAGTGTTCCTTATTATTAGTTTGGCAACGGAAGACGTATTTCAGTCAACTCATTTATTTTGATTCCTTAATTACATGACCAAAAATCACATAACGATGTAGCATCGAAAAATATTTGTAATGATTATCAGCTATCAATGTAACTTTACAAAAGCTAAAAATTTGCATTTTTATTAGAGGCATTCACATTTACCATAGCTATCAGCATTTTGTTTGCCTCCTGCCTTCCCAGGTTTTTTCACCTCATGGCAATGCACCACAGTAAGATTTGGGTGATTAGGACTTTTCTTTTGTAAAGTAGGAGAAGAATAATTGCTAAAGGGCAGTTGGAAAGGAAAAGTGGAGTGATTGCTGAGAACCAGCCCAAAGCTTTGACCACAGAGTTATTCAGATTTATCAGTTTTAAGGAAGTACAGATATAAGTTGAGGATCTGGAAACTAACTCAGGGACACATGGACCTGAATTTGAAAATCACTGTTTATATAAAACACTATGATGAATGTTTGCGTATTTGCCTAGTTATTTCGTCAGGATAAATCTCCACTGACACCAATTAGAGGTTTAAAAGTATGTATGTTTTTGTGGTGATGCCAAATTGTAATTGTTACCAATCCTAGAGAGTCAACGTTGACCTGTTTGTTGTCCTGAATAGGATAGTCTTTTTTTATTTTACCAATCTGCTTGAATTTCTGCAATTACCATTGAACTCCAACATTTCTTACCTATTTTCATTTGTATTTCTTTATGTCTTTGTATTTTTGTATTAGAATATTCATATCTGTTTTTAGAAGTGCTTTCTACGTAGGAATTGATTCATGCTTTGTCAAATATGTTGCATCATCTATTACCACCTCCAAAGCCAGTTTATTATTCTTTTAACCTCATTTAGATGTGTTTGTCATACAGATGTATGTTTGTTTTAATAGCGTGATCTAGCCAACTTTGGGGTGCTTTCAAGTCATGCTTACAAAATTTTATAAATTTTAGGTTCTTTGCCTGCATTATATAAAAGTTTATTCTTATTTTATCTTTAGTACTTTGTTTTTTTATGTGCAAATATTTTATATGATGTACAGGAATAATAAAAAAAAGTTTTAATGTAGTAGATTACATGTTTAAATGATATAGTAGTGCAACTGTTAGTACTATCCTTAGAGTAACATTTTGGGGAAAACAAACAGGTACAAATAATGATATAAAAATAACTTATCTTCTAAAGAATTGGCATTGTTTTTCAGTCTTTTTTTAAAAAACTAGATCAATCACTAAGGTGATGGAAGTGCCCTTGACTCCATCCCAGGCCCACTTACTCTGTCATATCCCACTTAGCTCTAGAAGTATCCATCATTAGGAGTTTAAGTATCCTTCCAGATCTTTTTCTTTTTTTACCTGTCCCTCTTCCAGTTCTTTTTAAAACTGTGTCCCTTGGCAAATCTATCCTTGGTAAATTTTAAAATTTAAATGGCATATCATAGTGCATGGTAAGAATGTTCTATAAGCTGGGTGTAGTGGCATATAACTGTAGTCCTAGCCCACTCAAGATGCTGAGGCAAGAGGATTGCTTTGAGCCAAGGAGTTCAAGGCTGTATGATACCATAATTGAGCCTGGGCAACATAGTGAGAACTCGTCTCTTCTTTTAAAAAAATCTTCATCAGTATAGTGATAAAACAAACAAACAAAATACATATATATATATATATATCTTATATATATAAAGTGAAACAAAAGAAAAATAGAAAAAAAAGTTCTACAACCTGCTTTTTCATATCTAGTTAACAAAATTATCTTAAAATTTTTTTATGTTGCTGTATGTGTATTTAGAAGGTTTTTTTTGTTTTGTTTTGTTTTTTTTTACCATTTTCTATCATATGAATACAGAATATTTTATGTATCCATTACCCAGTTCATGAGTACTTAGGTTGTTTCTGATTTTTTACTGTTATAAACAGTACTATAGGGAGAGCATCCCTGTGGGAGTGTTCTTGAGCATGTATGAGAGATTCTATAAGGGTATATGTATCTGCAAGTCAAATTGTTAGGTCATAGCTTATGGGCATTTTAGTTACATATTTATCAAAATTACCCACTTACTGGCTGAAACAATTATAATTCCCACCAGCAGTATATGTGTTATTAATATTTCTGCATATCCTTGCAAATATTTGTTCTTGTCAAAATTTTTATTTTTGCAAATCCGATGGATGAAAACTACTTTGATAGTGTTCTTATGTATATTTTCTTGACTCTGGAAATGCTAAGGACCTTTTTATTGGCCATTTCAAGTTCCTCTTCTTTGAATTATCTATTCAAATCATTTTCCCATTTTCCTGTTATTTCCCTATTAATTTGAAAATATAAATTTTCTATTAATTTGTAAAGATTCTTCATTTATTCTGAATTCTGCTCTTTTATTATTATATATATTCCAAATACCTTCCTCCAGTATATCTTGTGTTTCAACTTTTTGTGTCTGTTGCTACTCCAAAGTTTTTAATTTTCAGATAATCAGATTATTGGTTTTCCACAATTAGTTTTCGTGGTCATGCAGTTCATGATTTAGGATCATCTTTAAGAAATTCTTCTCTAACCTGAGGTCATAAAGATACCCATCTCTGTTTTCTTCTAACAGTTTTTAAACTTTGTTTTTTCAACTTAGACCTTTAATCCATCTGGAGTTTCTATGTGTATAAAGTATAAGGTAGTGATCTAAACTGTTTTCCCTCTAATGAAAAGCCTACTCTCAATACCTAGTGCAGTTCAGAATATCAAAGATAGACCTATAAACCTACAGACAATGACACTCTGTGGTAGGAATAATAGAGTGCTTTGTTTCTTCCTGACCAATATTACTAAATTCCCTGGCTGATATTTTTCATTGTAAGTTGATTGTCTAGATGCCTTGCTTTGAAAGTATGCTTTCGGGGAGGGTGTTTTTATTTGCATACTTAATATATTTGCTTTGGACAATTTAGAAAGTATAGTTAAGCAAAATGAAAAAAATAAGAATCATCTATACTCCCTCCATTCTATCATTAGCTACTATTTACTTTTTGGAGGCAACGTTTTCCTGTCTTTTTTGCATTAATGTAATAATATTTAACATTTATTGAGGATTTTATGTTTTCCAGGTACTGTTCCATTTGCTTTATGTGTATTCATTTAACTTGAAGTTTTTGTGGCATGAAGAAAAGGGGAGATGATAAAGGTAGGAAAAGTGTTTCTGAGAAAAATAATTAAGAACATAAGATACTCTCTTTGTTCCAGCAAGTATACAGCGAGTGTAACAGCAAGTGCAACAGCAACTAACCAGGGAAAGAACTGAGTGGCACACGGAGCGTCTTTATTCCACCAGCAGGCTCAGAGGGGCGCTGAGCACCGCTTCCTTGTTCTCCTCCAGTTTTTATACCCTTGGTGGGATTCAAAAAGCGTCCAATCAGCAACAGGCTTTAATATCCAATCAGTAGTGAGTTCAGCCATTCGGGCCCCAGAGTGGGTTTTTTTCCCTATCATCTTAAAGTAAAAAAACAAAAAACCGAATAGGGAGATACACTGGATTTACTTTAATTTCAGACAAAAATCACTGGAGAGACATGGTTCTAGACTGAGGTAATTTTCTTTCTTAATTATAGAGATAAATTAAAAAAAAAAATAGAAGCACCCAGGCAGAAAAACAAAACCTACAAGGGAACAAAAATTAGCCTGGTTAGACTTCTCCCAGAAGATAACAGAACATCTGTTAAAATATGCCTTTAGCCTTCTTACTATTTAGCCAGGCTCTTGGTTTTGTCCCTAGCACTTCTACTACATGTGAGATGTAGCATTTGGGTGGTGAGGGATTCAGTAAAGCATAATTAAATCATGAAATCATTTACATTCCCACATATGTACTAACCCACCTACCCCTTCCCACCCCCTTCACATGGGCTGTGTGAGTGAGGGATTTTGGAACAGGTCAGCCTACAAAGGCACTATAATAATTACAGAATCTTGATCAACTGGGTCACTTCATTTATATGAAGAAAACTGAAGATCAGACTATGGAAAGATGAGAAAAAGCTCTTGCTGCTGGCCAAGACCATCAAGACTATTCTGACACCCAATCCCCATCATCCTTGCCTCAGTTCTCTGATATCATGGGTAATTATGAACCCCAGCACCTGGGACCCTGAGGAATTTACCAGGAGTAAATGGCTTTCATGTAAAAAACAAAACAAAACAAAACAAAAAAAACAGAGCAGCATCAAGAGGCTTTTCAAAGGAAGCGTGACAAGAAGTGTAAGGCCAGTCGACTTGGATGATGTATTCCTGCCCTGCACTCTGTGCCCTTCACTTGTGCGTTCCCAGAGCCTGGCATGAAGCAGGTGTCAACAAACACCTGTGGTCGCAAGGGCACAAGTCAAAGGGAACTCTGTGTACACTCTGTTAGAGGAGCACATCTGCACTGTCCTTACTCCTTCATCTCTTTTCCTTATAAAATTGAGGGCTTTTTCACTAGAAAATAATGTGGATAAGATTACAGGTTGAAATTTTTATTTCAAAATGATAAATAAACAGAGGCATAGTTCTGACTATGTACTACTTCTGCAGGGCTTGTGAAGTTAGAGAAACAGTTCCATGGGGACTCCAGTCAGACCCAGAATGTCACCAACCACACTTGTGACTGGCAGAGATAGCCTCTTTGATCTTCAAGGATTTAAAAGTTCTTCATCCTAATTTCTGAATATCATAAAAAGTAAAAAGCACTTTCATTTTTTTCATTGAAAATGATTTTTTTTCTTTGAAAATGTTTTTAGTGGCAAACAGGACTACTTCATTTTTATGAGCATGGTAGTTATACCTACTAGTGTTTCCCCGAAAATAAGACCTATCCATAAAATAAGCCCTAGCAGGATTTCTAAGCATTTGCACTATATAAGCCCTATCCTGAAAATAAGACCTAGTGGTGGGCGTGGCTACACAGCGTACCTGCGCAACCCATGCATTTCGTCACAGAGCGGTAAAGAAGATGGGCATCCCTTCTTATCTGCCCCATGAGACCTCTATTGCTTGACTTGAGAGATTGGGGTGAATGGTTCTAAAGGAAATAGAGTCATAAGAAATTCAGGATGGAATTCGGGGTTTGGAGAGTTATGATGATGTTCCAGAGGAAGATGACTTAACTATATTTGAATAAATGTAGATTGTTGTACCTTACTTAAAAAAATAACACATTCCCTGAAAATAAGCCCTAAGGTGTCTTCTTCAGACCCTGTCTTATTTTTGGGGAAACACGATATGTCAACTTATTTAAAATTAAAGAGGGGAAAATCCAGAGACCTCTGAGTGGCACTGCTCACCCACAAAAGGCCCACATGAATGGATACTCATGTTCATGGTATCATTTCTACAAAGAGCAATAACATAATGTTTGTAAATCAGAAGTACAGTAGTAGCAGTTCACACATATTTGATATGCTTTCACACAAGCATTTGGTAGACAATAAATATAATTTCCCCTCTTCATGTTTATCAGCGTACCATTTTTAATGTGCTTTGAAAGAATTAAAAACCATGAAGCTGTATTCATTGAATACTGGTCCATAGTTACATCTTTACTTTTAACCTGGCTTAAATACATACATCGTGGCTTTGTATTAAAATCCTTAAATCTATGGTAATTTGTGATGGATATATTAAAATTTTTTTCTCATTAACAATTTCATTGTTAAAAACAAAAATGGAATATTTAATGAATTGACATTTTATTTTATTTTTTTATTTTTTGTTTTTTGAGACAGAGTCTCACTTTGTTGCCCAGGCTAGAGTGAGTGCCGTGGCGTCAGCCTAGCTCACAGCAACCTCAAACTCCTGGGCTCAAGCAATCCTGCTGCCTCAGCCTCCCGAGTAGCTGGGACTACAGGCATGTGCCACCATGCCCGACTAATTTTATATATATATTAGTTGGCCAATTAATTTCTTTCTATTTATAGTAGAGACGGGGTCTTGCTCAGGCTGATTTCGAACTCCTGACCTCGAGCAATCCGCCCACCTCAGCCTCCCAGAGTGCTAGGATTACAGGCGTGAGCCACCGCGCCCAGCTTGAATTGACATTTTATAACTAGCCTCTTTTCATCTGCAGTGGGAATCTTTGATTCCAGAAATTTATAAAGGTTCTATATCTTCACATTTCAAATAAGCATAATACCATAAAAATGACATTTCATGACATTTCAAAGTGTTTGTCATTTCATTTTAAACTTGTATTTTCTTTTGAGATAAAAATGAAATTAAACTATTTGTTTTTAAGACATAAAAAAAAAAGAATTTAAGTTCAATATATGTTAGGGTTGAAATACAATTTAGCCACAGAGATTTGAGAAAGTTGTGCAAGGGACTCTTGCACAACTTGTGGTCAACTTAATTCAGTAAACATTTATCAAATGCTTGTCATGTGCCAGGCACTGTAATAAAAGCTGAAGTAATAAAAGCAAATACTGGTTCTTTACAAAAACTTGGTGATCCTATAAGAGAGTCAGGATGAGTCATTAAAGTGGCACCAGTTGTGATTTTAGAACCACCTTCACATTTGGAATCTGTTCCTTTTGCTGAATGCAGGTGTTCAGTGGCCATGTGTGAATAATAATTGGGATTATTAACATTTGTCTTTCAAACAAGTTTAAGTCGTTTTCTTTTAGGATACCCAAGTAGGACAGTCTGAGAAAACAGGAACAATTCTCCCTCCACAGTTTCAGTTCCCCTGAGGTTCTGTAGAGTCACATAATTCTGCCTAATTTAAAAACCATAAAGCAGATAGATTTGATTCAGTTGTCAGGCCAAGTACAAGAGCTGAATTTCAAAAATAGGCTCCTGGACATAGAACTGGAAAAAAAATAACAACTGAAAGATTAAATTTCTATGTCCTTACTGTCAGTAAAGTTGTTTATGTTAAGTCTGGAGCCTCGTGTGTGGCAAAATGCAGTTTTTTTGGAGCATCTGGGTGCAGATGGGTGGAGGCTGAAAAAGGCATCCATGAGAGAAAAGGGGAAAGCCTTGGGTTTTATAGAAGATTCTCTAGGGTGAGTAAGTGGGCCAGAACAGCCGCTGTAATAAAAATTTTCTTAACCACTTCAGGACCAGCGTGGACTATAGTTGACAGCGACAGATGAACCCGCACAGTGACTTTAGCCGACAGCCATGATGTGTAGGCGTACAGCCAAGCCTCGACTTTAGCCAACAGCTGTGATATGACTTTTCTAATTTTTCACTTAACAAAATAAAATTGTGAACACTTAAACATAACGTAATGAAAACATATATGTATATGTTGCCTATTCTGATTTACATTACAAGTAAAGCTGCCTGTAAAGTAAAACAAGCTTTCAGTGTGTGTTAAAGCTTTCCTCATCACACAAGAGCAAAACGGATTCGTCGTCAATGCACAGCACACACTGTCCTGTGGACTGTGAGTGCCGGCTGTGGGCAGGGTTTTGCGGCCGGTGAGCGCAGTACCAAAGTGGTTAATTTAGACTCTGCTAATGGCTGGACATAATCCCCTGCATATATGAAATAAATTAGCCGAGAACCAGGAGCAATGTGCCGTTTCCTTTTTTCTTCTGTGAGGTCTCCATGTGGGTCTCAGGCAGAGGTCCCTGCTCTGGCCCCAGCTTCCCAGGGCCTTGCCCCTCTCACAGAGTGTCCCGCTGGAGGTTGCCCAATGCCTGGTGGAGACAGGACTGGCTCTAGGAGCAGCCCAAGTGTGAAGAGCAGGCAGCAGGCACAGGGCCTGTGCTCACCTCTTGCACCCCACCATTGGGCAGGGTCCATCCTGGCTTCTGTGTGTCCACATCCCTCTGGCACCTGGTCCACTGCCAGCCTTGAGGGAAAAAGCAGCACAGACTCACTGAGGGACCCAGGCCAGCCTCTACCTCCTCCTGTAGCCACCCCCAGTGGCCCTATCTTGCCTGTAACTCTCAAAGGGAGGAAAGCAGAGGCTAGGAAAGGAGCACTCCTGTCACCAAGGCTGATCCCAGAGGTACAGGAAGGGCCAACCTCCACTTCAGGCTTTAGCAGGCCCGAAGGGGGCTCCAGGCAGGGTCATCTGTTCCCCACCTTGAGAGACAGCGGTATTTATCTCTCTGCCTCTAAACCCAGGGCCAGCAGCCCCACTGCCAAACTGCCTGACCCACTTCGAGGGTGTGAGGCTGCTTGGCTCCCACATTCCTAGAACCCAAGGGGAATTTCTGTCCCAAGAGGCCTCTGGAAACCCATCCCTCACTGCTGCACAAAGTTCAAGGCAGAGACAGAACAAGGAAAGACCAGGTGTGTGGAGAACATGGAATGTATGTTTGGAAATGTGCTGTTTTGGCTGTTCCAAAATGCCTGAGGGAGGGACGCCACAGCAAATCTCTAAGTCCCCAAGCACTTGAGCCTGTTTGGGAAATGCAGCCGTCCACATGGCCATGGGCACAATGATAATGATTGACGGATGCTGTTACGGATCCGTCTCCATCTGGATGTGTTGTATTATGCCAGTGGTGTGTGCACAACAGAAAATGTAGCTGGGTTCATCTGGAAATATTTCTTCCTGTGTGAGTTTTTAATAAAGTAAAATTGTATGAAACTGACAGTAATATTGTAGTCTATAAAGAGGAATCACTCTTTGGGGTTAACAATGTATGTAGAATGACTACTTTTTTTTTTTTTTTTTGGTCAGCTTATTTGGGAAAAGATCTTTATCCTTTAGAGCTGTGGGCCCCAAGCCCTGGGCTGCAGACGGGTTGTGGCCTGTTAGGAATGGGGCCTCACAGCAGAAGGTGAGCGGTAGGCGAGGGGGAACGAAGTGTCATCTGTATTTATAGCTGCTCCCCATCCCTCCCATCACTGCCTGAGCTCCGCCTACTGTCAGATCAGCTGCGGCATTAGATACTCATAGAAGCATGAACCCTACTGTAAACTGTGCATACAAGGGATCCAGGTTGTGCACTCCTTATGAGAATCTAATGCCTGATGGTCTGAGATGGAGCCGAGGCGGTGATGCCAGTGCTGGGGAGCAGCTGCGAATATAGATTAACATTAGAAGAGAGGTCTGACTGCACAGTAAATGTAAAGTGCTTGAATCATCCTGAAGCCATCCCCCCCACCATGTAAAAATTGTCTTCCGTGAAACCTATTCTTGGTGCCAAAAAGGTTGGGGACTACTGCTCTAGAGTGTTAAGAAGTCATCATATAATTGCCAACCTCCACATTGTGTTCTGGAGTACATGATTTATCAAAATCAGTGTGAGATCTGTTTTAAATAAAAATCTATTTCAAAATCACATTTATATTAGATCCTGAATGCCATTTAGAGAGATATTTACCTACAGATTAAAAAATCACTTCATTTTCAGCAAAATATTTTGGTGTGAAAAATTTTGAAAACAAGGGAGATGGGTTTTTGTTATTTTCTCCATTATCTCATTTTTTGGTATTCATTCTTGGTATGTGTAAAATGGTAAAATGTTTATTAGATTTGCAGTAGGTTAATCATTAAAAAGAAAATACAGGTGGTCATAAATTCTGGAAATATTGAGAGTATTTTTGAAATAGATTGAACCTTTTTGATTATTTCTTCTGAGGTAAAGGTGCAAATTTATGCCTTGAAAATTGGACACAGAAATCATTTGAGGCAACATGTGACATATGTATGTGCAATGACTGATGGGAATGTTGCTTTAATGCACATCATTCATTGCAATTTTGCACAGCTTATTGAACTGTGAGTTGCTACTGAGGGACAACACATTCAGCATGTCTTAGCAGTAAGCTGTTTATTATGGATGTTTGTATGTTTTCAGACTTTATGGGACCTTGAACAACTTTAATTCAAAAGACCAAGTTTAACCTGTTAAAGAAAAGAATTTGAAAAAATACACTACTCTTTGTAAAGTATTTCCCATATGAAATCTTCCCTAATTGGTCCCATTTTGTTCTGATGATTAAACTTGCATAAGTTGCACTATTAAAAAAAATGCAGTAAAATACTAGAGAATATCTATGATTACATTCCAGTGTTTTGTGATTCAATGACATTTTAAGGGAGTAAAGTAAAAAAATAGCATGTATAAATATATAATTATGGAGAATAGAAGGGAACTTCTGGTTGGAACAACTAGGCCTAAAGAGCCCTCATGTCAGCTTTGCTCCTCTTAGAGAAAGGACAGTGATGCTTTCATCCTGACGGATAATCTGAGAGACTTAACCAGTGACACACGCATGATGATGCTGTTGAAATGGAATTTAACAAGGCGAGGGCAACGGGTTGCTTATGAGCAGCAAGAAACATGGAGTTTCACTGAAGTGCACCCTTTGGAAAGTGTGGGGTATTTAACAAGTGAGGCCTTTCATTATTCTAATGCAAATGTTGGCTAAATGTACACTTTCTTCAGTTTGGATGTTAAGGTGTCCCTTCCCTGTAGTTTTATTGGGCTATGTGTATATCTCAAGCATAGGTTCAGTGATATATTTTGTAAGATTCCAAACTATTTGAGGCATTGCATCCCTTTTTAGCCCTATGATGAATATAATAGAGAGCCTGCCTTCCTGACTCTTGGAAAATGTACAATTCTTAGAATTGTTTTAAAAACGAATCCTTCCAAATAGTTCATTCATCCATTTAGCTATGTTGGCTGAACATAGGACTCCATCATATCCTGGAAACATGTATATCATGATGTGAGGGCATCACCACATTTTAAGGAAGAAAATAATATTACTATTAAGAAATAAGTACAATTTTGCCAGAGGAAAAAATAAGAATATTGTCAGAAATCTGACTCATTATTTTAAATCTTTACATGATTGTTAGCTTGTTTCATTTAAAAATATTCATAGGCCGGGTGCGGTGGCTCACGCCCATAATCCTAGCACTCTGGGAGGCTGAGGCAGGCGGATTGCTCAAGGTCAGGAGTTTGAAACCAGCCTGAGCAAGAGTGAGACCCTGTCTCTACTAAAAATAGAAAGAAATTAATTGGCCAACTAAAATATATAGAAAACATTAGCCGGGCATGGTGGCGCATGCCTGTAATCCCAGCTACTTGGGAGGCTGAGGCAGAAGGATTGCTTGAGCCCAGGAGTTTGAGGTTGCTGTGAACTAGGCTGACTCCACGAGCACTCTATCCTGGGCAATAGAGTGAGACTCTGTTTCCAAAAAAAATAAATAAATAAAAATATTAAGAAAACCCTACAAGCTTGGCACAGTTGTTATACACAAAATAATGTGCTAGTGGCACCCCTGCTCCCAGGCCAGTGTGAGTCCAGATGCTTCTTTGCTGGTTTATTTCATTTTCTAGGGTCCATTTGCTACAAATCTTTATCATGCTTCCAAAATAAAGAAGTCAGCCATTTCAAGTTCAGGTCTTGACCCCAGTGAAATAAAAAAAGTGACACAAATCCTCTGAAGAGCAGACTGACCCGCATGGCGGTGACAGCCCAGCCCAGGACTGCTGACACAGACTTGGACTGGGGTTGTGGCATCTAAGGATTGAACTGGGTGACAACATGGATGGGTCACAGTGGGGGTTAGTTGTTGTGGGTCTAATGTTTTGGGGATGGAGACCTACAGCTGTACTTACCGCCCCGAACCCCCACCAACCCCATAACCTTACATGGGTCTAAAGATTACTGTATAATGGTGTTAGTGTTCCCAAAAATAATATACCACACTGAGGAGACAATGTATGAGGGCATAGTAGGGTGAAGAGTCACCAACCTAATTTTTAAAAGAAAAAGAGAGCCCTTCACAGCCATAACCCTGGCTATTCTTTTTGGCTTAGGGGCAATAGGAGCAGGAACTAGTATCTCTTCTCTGGCAATGCAGCAAAGAGGGTTTAATACTCTGAGGGCAGCTGTTGATGAAGATATTGCAAGGATAAAAGATTCAATCTCACACCTAGAAAAGTCACTAACCTATGTGCTGCCCTCAAAGAATGTTGTTTCTATGCAGACCATACGGGAGTTGTTAGAGAATCTATGGCTAAGGTCAGGGAAGGGCTTGCCCGCCGCAAACGGGAATATGAACAGCAAGCAGGTTGGTCTGAGTCTTGGTTTAACAGTTCCCCCTGGTCAACAATGCTACTATCCACCCTACTAGGCCCACTCATTATGCTAATCTTAGTCCTAACTTTCAGACCGTGTGTAATTAATAGACTAGTAGCTTTTGTGAAAGAATGGATAAACACTGTCCAGCTACTAGTATTGCAACAACAATATCAGCAGCTACGGTCAAGTGCTATAGAACTAGAGCACCTAAGAGAC